CCTGCCGGGTCACTGGCTGTGTGGACTTGCAGGCAGAGTAGGAGCAGGATGTGTACTACGGACGTGAAGCCAATCTCCTCCTCTGTAAGAACTTGAAGAGCAGTTACTGTCAAAGCAGTTTAGTGGCTTGTATTTCTTTCCCCAGTCAGCTTTTAGCAGTGTCCCATTACTTATTTACCTGTTTGTATTTAAAATACAGAGAGCAGCAAACTTTGGAAGATTGTAGGGCTATTGAAAAGTACATTTTCCGTACATAGAATATTGGCAAAAGCTAGTGGTGCCACAGATTTGGTGGATGTTAAGAGATCATTTTAGTTATTTGTGATGATGATGAAGATTTTGAGAGTCAGCTTGAGTGGGAGAGAGCTAGGTCTGAATTTGGATTCTTCAGCATTACCTAGCTGGGTGATCTTGAGCTTCTCTCTAACCTTTTTAATTTTAATTTAATTTTATTTTTTGCCATCCAGTTCTGCCCCAAAAGGAGGAAGTAATAGATCTTCCTTTAATAACTTCCCAAAGCGTTACAAATAAAAAAAAGGAGCCTAAAGCATTGCGGGGGTGGCTGAACGCAGAGCAGGAAAGGATTTGCTCCTCTGCTTTCTAAGCTTTTGATTCCTTTCCTGTGAGGTGAATATAGCCACCTATCCTGCAGGATTATTTTGAAGATTAATGATAGAACATAGTAGATATTCAATAGTTAGTAGTTGTTACTGTTGTTGTTATTGTTTAGAATTTCCCTTAGTAGAAACATATAATTTGAGTTAATAACAGAATTTATTGTTTATTATTCCAACGAAAGTCTGTAATGAGTGGAAAATTAAGAAATGACAAAACCAGAGTCGTTTTTTAAAAAACTTGTAAGGGGATGTTTGGTGTAAATCTGTGTTCTGAGATGGAAGGTCCACTCTTGTTAACATTTTTGCTCACCTAGGTACACACAGAAAGTTGTTATAATCTGGTGTAAACAAATGATGAGGGGCTAACACAATGTCCATTTATTTGTTTTCCTTTTCAAAGACACTGCTTTGTCATCAAGGTTGGGTGTGCTTAGGAACTATGGTATATATATAAATGGAAGCCTACTAATTAATACTTCTGATTTCTCTGGAATCACCAGGAATACATTAATGCCTTCAAGAAAGATGAAATGGAAAAAAGGAATGTTTAGATGGAAAGACTGAATATTATAAAGGTTTTGTTTCTTCCCAAGTTAAATTGTATTTATAATTCAATTCCAATGAAAATCCCAAGAGGGGTTATAAAAAATTACCTATAAAAGATTCGTAAGTGCAAATAGCTTTGAAAAATGGAATAATTAAAATGAAAAGCATGACTAACAACACCAAATATTTTAAAATATTATAAAGTGTGAATAATTAAATCAATGTAATGCTCGGCCAAGAATTAGCAGACAGATCAAGGAATGGAATAGACAGAAATAGACCCTGGTATATATAACATGTTAATATATGAAAGCAGTGAGGATTGCTTTTTTTTTTTTTTTTTTTTTGAGATTGGGTCTCACTCTGTCACTCAGGCTGGAGTACAATAGCATGATCTTGGCTCACTGCAACCTCCGTCTCCCGGGTTCAAGCAGTTCTCCTGCCTCAGCCTCCCGAGTAGCTGGGACTACAGGTATGTGCTACCATACCCAGCTAATTTTTGTATTTTTTGTAGAGATGGGGTTTTGTCATGCTGCCCAGGCTGGTCTCGAACTCCTGGCCTCAAGTGATCTGCCCGCCTCGGCCTCTCAAAATGCTGGGATTACAGGCGTGAGCCACCATTCCCCGCCAGCAGTAAGGATTTCTGGGGAAGGAATGAATTATTAAGTAAATATTGCTAGAATAGTTAACTAGCTGCTTAGAAAAAATATTAATTTAGTTTTGTAGTGTATACTACAATAAATTCCAGGCAAAAGAATTTGAGAAGACAGACTCAAAAATATTTTAGTAGACAATACAAGAAAATATAGAAAATAGGTGGCTGATGCCTGTAATCCTAGCACTTTGGGAGGCTGAGGAGGGCAGATCACCTGAGGTCCCAAGTTTGAGACCAACTTGACCAACATGGTGAAACTTTGTCTCTACTAAAAATTGCAAATATTAGCCACGTATGGTAGTATGTGCCTATACTACCAGCTACTCGAGAGGCTGAGGCAGGAGAATCACTTGAACCCAGGAGGCGGAGGTTGCAGTGAGCCAAGATCATGCCACTGCACTTTTGGGGTCAAGCGATCCTCCTGCCTCAGCCTCCTGAGTAGCTGGGACTACTGGCATGCACCACCTTGCCTATTTAATTTTAAATTTTTTATTTATGGAGGGAGGTTCTTGCCATGTTGGCCAGGCTGGTCTCAAACTCTTGGTCTCCAGCAGTCCTCCCGAACTGGTCTCCTGAGGCACTGGCATTGCAGGTGTGAGCCACCTTGCCTGGCCAAATAGAAACTCTTTGAAGGCAAGAAATATGTCTTATCTACTGTTGTGTCTTTAGTGTTACTGCATAGTTTCTGGCACATAGCAAGTCTTTGGTGAATATTTGTTGAATGAATGAATGAATGAATAAGCTTAAAATCAAAAGAAGAAAATACAAGGGGAAAACTTGAGATGCCTATTTAAAAATTTTTTAACTTTCTTGAAAAACTCAATATGTAAGTTAAGACACAAAAATGGAAGTAATCACAATAAATATGATGCAAAAGACAATATTTTTCTTTATGAAGCATATATATGAATCACCAAGAAAATAGATATTAGTATCTATTAGTATGTATGGACAATTAACAGAAGAGCAAATAAAGACTAACAAATATTTGCAAAAAAAGGTTCTGTTTCACTAGTAGAGAAATAGAAAACAAAACAGCAATGAATTATTTTCATTTATCAGATTATCAAATACTGGAAAAAAGTCATGAATACCTGATACACTGATAATGGAGGGTGAAAAGGGCACTTTATACATTATTGGTGGACATATAATGTAGAATACCTTATTAGAAAAAACTGGTGACAAACATTCAAGGTATTTAAAAAATACGTATTTTCTTGGTTTCCATAGTCTAGTTCTACCCTAAGGAAATATTAGGAAATGCAGATAAAGATTTATAAATAAAGATATTCATCACAATGTTATTAGAGTAGTAAGAAACCAAAGATCAACCTAAACCTCCAACATTAGGGGAATGGTTAAGGAAATTAGAGTATAAGTCTGCATATGACTTATGCAGCCTTTGCAAATGATATTTAGGAATAATAAAATAATATGAGAAATGTTTATGATGTAAAGTTAAATGAAAAATGAATGGTATAAAATCATGGTTCACAGTATGATCTCAAATAGGCAAGGCAGCATACACAATAAGGGAAATATAACAATGTTAATAGTTTAGGGTTAGGATTATGGGTGACTTTCATACTTTATACCATTTTATATTTTTGTAGTTTTTAAAGTTTTTTATAATGAACATATATTACTTCCATAATTGAAAAACAAGTTTTGTTTCTTTTAAAGCATACAGTGTTGGATATAGTTCTCTCTGTCCTGTAATCGTTGGTGATAAAACTTAGTGAACAATAGGGTTTTGTTTGCCTCAAGTTAAAATTCTCTGCTTTAATTGCAAAAGTTAATTTATAGGCCAGTAATCTTATACAGCAGGCAGTTTGGTTGATAAAAGTATCCAAAGAAAGAACTGAGTATCTGACTTTTCTTACCTCTCCAGAGCCTTTGTAACATTGATTTCTGCTCTCTCATTATATTGTGTTTTATTTTTAGTTATAAAATATGTTTTATTGCCTTTAATCTGATATACCTTTATAAGCTTGAATTAAGACACGAGATGATTTTCTGAACCCAGGTTTTTACCATATTAGGGAAAGTTAAGATTGAAAAATACAAGTAGTAGGTTCTAAACTCCCAGTCATCCATGTTATAATTAGTCAATTATTGCAGAAACTTGGTAGAGAAAGGTTTCCTGTTTTCTTTTCTCCCCCACTACAGCCATCTTTACTTCTGTCAAGAACTCTTCTGACTTTGTTAACAGCTCTCTCATTATATACATTTTAAAAAGAAAAGCTGTTATCAGTCTGCTCGAATTTTTTTTTTTTTCTTAGATTTCAGTAGATCCTGGGTGAAATATTCACTAAAGTTTAGAGTATCACCTTAAGACCTGGGCAACAGGGGCCCCTGCTTTGGATCTTACTTAAAGGACGCATATATCACAAATGTTCAAAATATAAGTGTCATTTAAGATCCAGCACTAAGTGGCATAGTACAATTTGTAATCCAAATGTCCACTGTAGTGACCTAACACCATTCAGGCTCCAGATAACACTTTCCTCCATCTCTTGCCGTGTGCCATTGAAGCAAAAAGTGATTCTGTGTGAATGTCATGAAGGTTATGGGCTGTTGATGCTGGTTATGGACACTGCTTTGGAGTATGGGGAGGATTTGAGTGACATAAGTTCTTAGGTGAGGGAAAAGACAAATTAGCACAAACGCAGTAGATTCTTGCACATTGAAGTAATATTTCGCAGGGCTGCTGAGCATCCATTTTCTTGTTTCTCTTTGTATTCCAGTATGTGGTTCTGGAGATATAAATTAGGATGATATTTGTAACAGTGGCTCATGGCAGTTGAAGAATATTTTGCAATGTTAAACAATTCATATTACTCTTAAATTTTATGTGTGAAGGTGCTGATATTGTGGACATTGGCCGTAGATGAGCCTTGAACTCTAGAATTGTGAGTAGTTCTGTATTCGTAAAAATACATAATAGGACTTAGCTTTTTAAAAAATCACATTAAAGTTTAAACTTTATTATAATAAATTTACTTAACATTTGGTAATTGTTAATTATAATTTGTATTTTGTCTTTGAGTTTTTATAGATAATTTTGAATATTTTAGAAAAAAGATAACATATGATAGCTGGGCACAGTGGCACATATCTGTAGTCCTAGCTACTCGGGAGGCTAAGGTGAAAGGATCACTTGAGCCCAGGAGTTTTAAGTCCAACTTGGGTAACATAGTGAGACCCCATCTCTTAAAAAAAAAAAAAAAAAAGGTCTGTCCAAGCCCAGACAAAGTCTTCACTCCTTCCCGAGGCCCGAGGAAGCCCTCTCTCCCCAGACATGGCCAATAAGGGTCCTTCCTATGGCATGAGCTGCGAAGCTCAGTCCAGAATTGAGAAGAAGTACGACAAGGGACTGGAGGAACGGCTGGTGGAGTGGATCATAGTGCAGTATGGCCCTGATGTGGGCTGCCCAGACCGTGGGCGCCTGGGCTTCCAGCTCTGGCTAAAGAATGGTGTGATTCAGCAAAAGAAACTACCATCAGAGTGAACAGGCAACCTACAGAATGGGAGAAAATGTTTGCAATCTACTCATCTGACAAAGGGCTAATATCCAGAACCTACAAAGAACTCAAACAAATTTATAAGAAAAAAACAAACAACCCCATCGAAAAGTGGGCAAAGGATATGAACAGACACTTCTCAAAAGAAGACATTCATACAGCCAACAGACACATGAAAAAATGCTCATCATCACTTGCCATCAGAGAAATGCAAATCAAAACTGCAATGAGATACCATCTCACACCAGTTAGAATAAAAATCATTAAAAAATCAGGAAACAACAGGTGCTGGAGAGGATGTGGAGAAATAGGAACACTTTTACGCTGTTGGTGGGACTGTAAACTAGTTCAACCATTGTGGAAAACAGTGTGGCGATTCCTCAGGGATCTAGAACTAGAAATACCATTTGACCCAGCCGTCCCATTTCTGGGGATATACCCAAAGGATTATAAGTCATGCTGCTATAAAGACACATGCACACGTATGTTTACTGTAGCACTATTCACAATAGCAAAGACTTGGAATCAACCCAAATGTCCATCAGTGACAGAATGGATTAAGAAAATGTGGCACATATACACCATGGAATACTATGCAGCCATGAAAAAGGATGAGTTCGTGTCCTTTGTAGGGACATGGATGAAGCTGGAAACCATCATTCTCAGCAAGCTATCACAAGAACAGAAAACCAAATACCGCATGTTCTCTCTCACAGGTGGGAATTGAACAATGAGATCACTTGGACACAGGAAGGGGAACATCACACACCGGGTCCTATTGTGGGGAGGGGGAGGGGAGAGGGATAGCATTAGGAGATATACCTAATGTAAATGATGATTTAATGGGTACAGCACACCAACATGGCACATGTATACATATGCAACAAACCTGCACGTTATGCACATGTACCCTAGAACTTAAAGTATAATAATAATAAAAAAAAATGGTGTGATTCTGAGCAAGCTGGTAAACAGCCTGTACCCTGATGGCTCCACGCCAGTGAACCTGCCCGAGAACCTGCCCTCCATGGTCTTCAAGCAGATGGGGCAGGTGGCTCAGTTCCTGAAGGCAGCTGAGGACTATGGGGTCACCAAGACTGACATGTTCCAGACTGTTGACCTCTTTGAAGGCAAAGACATGGCAGCAGTTCAGAGGACCCTGATGGCTTTGGGCAGCTTGGCAGTGACCAAGAATGATGGGTACTACCGTGGAGATGCCAACTGGTTTATGAAGAAAGCGCAGGAGCATAAGAGGGAATTCACAGACAGCCAGCTGCAGGAAGAAAAGCATATCAGGGCAGCAACAGAGGGGCCTCCCAGGCTGGCATGACATGCTACAGACGACCTTGGCAGATCAACAGCCCTGCCCTCCCCCAGCTCCTTGGCTGCAGCCATCCCGCTTAGCCTGCTTCACACATACCCATGTGGTACCTTTAGCTCTGGCCAAGCTTTGAGGCTCTGTCACTGAGCAATGGTAACTGCAGATGGGCAGCTCTTCCCCAGTACCCCCAGCCTCAGCCCAACTTCTTACCCAAAAGCATCACTGCCCTGGCCCCTCCCTCCCGGCTACCCCTGCCACCTCTACTGTCTCCCTGCCCTGCACCTCCTCTTCCCACCCCCCTGGGCTAAGCAGGGGAGAAGTGGGCTGGGGGTAGCCTGGATGTGGGGCAAGTCCACTGTTTTCCTTGACGGCAAAAGCCCATTGAAGAAGAACCAGCCCAGCCTCCCCCTATCTTTTCCTGGAATATTTTTGGGGTTGGAACTCAAAAAGGAAAAAAAGAAAATTACATCAATGTTTTCTCAAAAAAAAGAAGGCCAAGGCGGAGCCCAGGAGTTCAAGACCAGCCTGGCCAACGTGGTGAAACCTCGTCTCTACAAAAAATACAAATTTTTGTATTTAGCTGGTGTGTGGTGGCGCCACCTGTAGTCCCAGCTACTTGGGAGGCTGACGCATGAGAATTGCTTGAACCTGGGAGGCAGAGGTTGCCGTGAGCTGAGATTGCACCACTGCACTGCAGCCTGGATGACAGAGTGAGACTCTGTCTCAAAATAGAAAAAAGAAGATAACATTTGAAAACCAATATGAAACTTTTAATTTTTAATTTTTCACATTTAATATAAATTTTGGTGATCTTTAAATTTTATACACTTTTTTCTTATGTCAATGTTTATTTTTTAATTGACATGAAAATTATATGTATTTATAGTGTACACATGACGTTTTGATATATGTATACATGTGGAATGATTAAATCAAGCTAATTAACATATCCATCACCTTACATCCTTACCATATTTTTGTGATGAGAACTTTTAAAATCTATTGTCTTGGCAATTTTTAAGTACCCAATATGTTATTATTAAACATTTTTTATGGTCTAAATAAATTGAATTTATTTTTAATCCTTTGGATACTTACTGGCAATATGATACAAATTTTGAGAAAAGCTTGTTAATAACCTGATTGGTGATTTGATAAAATTAAGGTAGAAAGAAAAATTGTATGGACTATATTGTAATTTAAAAATTATATATGTCTTCATCTTATTTTTTATCTAGACACTGCTGGCTCATCAACATTATATCCAGACATGTGCAATAATGCTTAAATTCAGTTATCTTTGATATTCTGTCAACTTTTAGTTATACAAAAATCATAACTTTAGGTTAGGCATGGTGGCTCACACCTATAATCCCAGCACTTTGGGAGGTCAAGGTAGGAGGATTGCTTGAGGCCAGGAGTTCAAGCATGGGCAGCATAACAAAATTCTGTCTCTACAAAAAACAAACAAACACCAACCACAACTGTCCGGAGCTGCACGCCCCGGCCATAGCGAATAATAATTGAGGATTAAACGCCTGAGCTATATTCATTTCCACCCCACACCTTCTCCCTATCTTTGCCTTTTTTCCCCTGTACTAATACCTCATTAAAGATGGCGCTCTTCCTGCTTCTTCATCACTCACTTTTCCCGCGCCCGGGAAAATTGTTACTTAATAGCGCAAGCGCAACATGACGTCCGACCGGAGAAACCGAAACTAACCTGGCCACGCCCTCGGCAATGAGATCATTTCCGCCTTAGCCCAACCCCTTCCCTTCCAAATGTATATAAGGCATTGCATTACCGCCATTAAACGAGACTTGATCAGAGCACTGTCTTGTCTCCATTTCTTGTGTCTCTTGTTCCCCAAATTCCCACCCCCTGCTCCAGGGCCTGCTCTGACTATCCCGCGGGCCGGGATACATGGCGCCCGAACAGGGACCTGGAAACGAGGGACTCCGTGAGGAAGAGGACGCAAAAGGACGGTCGACCGCTAACGAAGACAAAAGGAGTCAAACTCTTCCGATCACCGCGGGAACCTGCCGCGTCAGAATCGAAGGTAAGTGACGCGTCCGAAATGGGACAAGAATTAAGCCAACATCAAATATATGTAGGACAATTAAAAGAGGCTTTAAAGATACGAGGAGTAAAGGTTAAAGGTAATGATTTGTTTAAATTTTTTGATTTTGTAAGACACTTGCCCTTGGTTCCCACAGGAAGGAACTATTGATATTAAAAGATGGCGTAGAGTAGGGGATTGTTTTCAGGACTATTATAATACTTTTGGGCCAGAAAAAATTCCTGTAACCGCCTTCTCTTATTGGAACCTCATTAGAGATTTAATAGATAAGAAGGAGGCCAATCCGCAAGTCATGGCTGCGGTCGCTCAGACAGAGCATATTTTAAAGGTTAGCTCCCGCTCTAACCTCACGAAGCCTCCGCAAGATACGGAGGAAGATCTCATTTCCCTCGAAAGTGATCATGAGGAAATCAAGTCTCCTTCTGTAACAGATAAAGAAATACCACATGAAAACAAACCAAAAAAATACCCAATTTTACAGATGCTTCAAAAGGAGGAGGAAATTAATAAGCCTAATCAATTGGATATAAATTGGGATGATTTAGAGGAAGAGGCGGCTAAATATCACAACCCTGATTTGCCTCCCTGTTCTTCATACCCACCCCCATATAATAAGACACATAATGAGGCTTCTGCGCCCATTGTTATGGCAGCAATAGATCCCAAAGAAGAATTAAAGCAAAAATTGCTCAACTAGAAGAACGGATTAAACTTGAAGAGTTACATCAATCATTGATAATTAGGCTCCAAAAGCTAAAAACAGGAAATGAAAAAATACCTAACTCAGACGCTATGGAGGGTTCCTTGCGCCCACTTCAGCGGCCTGGACAACATGTTCCAAGAGGGGGGCTAGTTGCTAGCCGACATAGAGAAGACTCCTCCCCCAAAGACGTTTTTCCGGTCACTGAAACCATAGATGAACAGGGACAGGCTTGGAGGCATCATACTGGATTTGATTTTACTATTATAAAAGAGTTAAAGACTGCTGCCTCTCAGTATGGGGCTACTGCTCCATATACTCTTGCTATAGTGGAATCTGTAGCTGAGAATTGGCTCACTCCTACAGACTGGAATACCTTAGTCAGGGCAGTTCTTTCTGTGGGAGACCACTTAATTTGGAAGTCAGAGTTCTTTGAAAATTGTAGAGATACAGCTAAAAGAAATCAACAGGCAGGAAACGGTTGGGATTTTGATATGTTAACTGGTTCAGGTAATTATGTAGACACTCAGGCCCAAATGCAATATGACCCTGGACTGTTCTCACAAATCCAGGCTGCTGCTACAAAGGCCTGGAGAAAACTTCCCGTTAAAGGAGATCCAGGGGCCTCGCTCACAGCGGTTAAACAAGGACCCGATGAGCCATTTTCAGACTTTGTGCATAGACTTATGACCACGGCAGGTAGAATCTTTGGAAATGCAGAAACGGGTGTAGATTATGTTAAACAGTTAGCTTATGAAAATGCTAACCCCGCCTGCCAAGTGGCAATCAGACCTTATCGAAAGAAAACAGATTTAACAGGATACATTTGCCTTTGTTCAGATATTGGGCCCTCATATCAACAAGGCCTAGCAATGGCCACCGCTTTTAGCGGCCAAACAGTAAGAGATTTCCTCATTAACAAAGGTAAAGATAAAGGGGGATGTTTTAGATGCGGTAAAAGGGGACACTTTGCAAAAGATTGCTGTGAAAACCAAAATAAGAGTCCAGAAGCAAAAATCCCAGGCCTTTGCCCAAGGTGTAAAAGAGGAAGGCACTGGGCAAACGAATGTAAATCTAAAACTGACATTCAAGGAAATCCTTTACCCCCCAGGCAGGGAAACGGGATGAGGGGCCAGCCTCAGGCCCTGAAACAAGCATATGGGGCAGTCAGCTTTGTTCCAGCCAGCAACAGCAATCCATTTCAAAACTTAGTAGAGCAACCCCAGGAAGTGCAGGATTGGACCTCAGTTCCACCTCCCACACAATACTAACACCTGAAATGGGACCGCAAACCTTAAATACCGGAATATATGGACCCTTACCACCTAACACTTTTGGGCTACTTTTAGGAAGAAGTAGTGTCACCATGAGAGGCTTACAAGTCCTCCCTGGAGTTATCGATAATGATTATGAAGGAGAAATTAAAATTATGGCCAGAGCTATTGATAGTATTATTACTGTCCCTCAAGGAGTTAGAATAGCTCAGTTACTCCTGCTACCTTTGGTTAAAACAGATAATAATATCCAATACTCTAATAGAAATATAAAAGGTTTCGGATCATCAGATATATATTGGGTGCAACCAATTACAAATCAAAAACCCTCTCTAACCTTATGGTTAGACGGGAAGGCATTCACTGGACTAATAGACACAGGGGCTGATGTAACTATCATTAAACAGGAAGATTGGCCCTCTCATTGGTCTACCACAGAAACTTTAACTCACTTGAGAGGAATTGGACAAAGCAGTAATCCTAAACAAAGTTCTAAATACCTAACATGGACAGATAAAGAAAACAATTCAGGCCTCATTAAGCCATTTGTCATCCCTTACCTACCTGTTAACCTTTGGGGGCGAGATCTACTCTCTCAAATGAAAATTATAATGTGTAGTCCAAATGATATAGTTACTGCACAAATGTTAGCTCAATGATACACCCCTGGTAAAGGTCTTGGAAAAGGAGAGAACGGTATCCCACAGCCTATACTGGTTTCAGGACAACTTGATAAAAAGGGGTTTGGAAATTTTTAGCTCAGGCCACTGACATACCTGCACCCCAAAGGTGCACTGACCCCATTACTTGGAAGTCAGATGAGCCCGTTTGGGTTGATCAGTGGCCTTTACTCAATGATAAACTAAGTGCTGCCCAACAGTTAGTGCAGGAACAACTAGCAGCAGGACATATTGAGGAAAGTAATTCCCCTTGGAATACACCTATTTTTGTTATTAAAAAGAAGTCTGGTAAATGGAGACTCTTACAAGATTTAAGAGCAGTAAATATCACTATGATCCTTATGGGTG